GAGGAGGGTCAGCCATAGGAGTAGGCGATATTAACCCTACACAGGTTTCATTTCTCAGAGGATAGTGCTCGGATTTACTTTCATCCAGTAGCAATCACTTCTAAGCAGCTCCCAAGCTGTCTTGCCTTGACTAGGGAAGTACTGCCTATACTCTAGCAATATTCACCATTTTGTAAGGGGTGGGAGAGGCGCCTGAGGGGTGAGAGCTGATGGCTCCACGCCCCCAGGCCGGTTCTTTGGTTTTCCTTGAGCGTGGGGGGGGCCCCGAGCCCCCGGTCTGGTGGTGGGTGACAGCCCACGCTGCGGATTCAGCGTCTCGGAGAGCTGGGCAGGACCCAGGGCTCGTAGCAGCGCTTTGAAAAGGCTCCTGTAATAAGGCGCGACGGGAAAATTCGGCGAGCTGCCCGGGCTGAAGGAGAGCGCCTGCTCCGCGCGGTGCCCCGGCAGCACCAACGTCAGAGCAACAGACTGTACCCCCGCTATTGCCGGGGTCACAAACCCACTGCACCCTGGTCCCCGAGACGCGCTTTAACTGGAAGGCAGAATACACAGGGTACCCGGTCCCGCCGGCTGCCTGGCTGCCGGCACGGGGATGGGGCTGGGCTACGAGCTGCCCCTGAGGGCTGCGAGGAGGCTGTGATGAATTCTCATCCTATTTTGAAGCACTGTATCCTATTACTGCATGTTGAGTTACGTGTGTGTGCCTGTGCGTGCCGAATGCTTGCGTCAGTAGTTAGAGCGAGTGTGACCGGGAGAAATCCAAGAAGCATGTCTTAGTGTCGTGCTGTAAGTGTTACTGCACAAGAGTTTAACAGATGTTAACACCAAATGACTAGTCTGAGAAATGTACTTTTAAAAAAAAAAAAAAAATTATTTATTTGGGTTCAGATATTTTTGAAATACAAAAAAAAAAAATTGGTTGTATTTTTTAAAGCTTATAATTCTTGTCATACATTGTGGTTAAATTCTTAATTTTACCGTGCTTATTAAAAAATGGTTCTACCTAAGCTTTGCGCTCGGAGGTCTGAGAAAATACCGGAGACGCGGGCTAGGCCGGGGTGGTGATCCCGGGAGGGCCGTGCTGGGTGGCTTTGGGACAAGGCGTGGCCTGGTCAAAGCCTGCGGAGGCTGGAAGGCACGAAAGGAGAGCGGGCTTGCGTGCACAAAGGGGAATCCTCGAGGCAGAAACCAGGGAGGGTCTTAGCGGCTGTGAAGTCTCTCGTGCCGCTGGGCACAGCGCCTGGCTGCGGGCGGGTGGCTCCT